TTATCTCACAGCAGTCTCACAACACAAATACTAAAACTGTCACCAATAATGTAATTATCAAAATTAAGCATCTTTTCAGTTCTTTCTTATGCTAATGTAGGGGTCAGCAAATTGTGACTATGAATTGGCTCCCTGTTTTTGTTAATAAAGTTTTATTGGAACACAGCCACGCTCATTCATTTACATACTGTCTGTGGCTGCTTTCTCACAAAATGGGCTGAGCTGAGTAGATCAAAGAGAGACTGGATGGCTTACAAACCTAAAATATTTACTATTTGTCCCTTTAAGGAAAAGTTTGCTGATCCCTACTCTAAATAGGGTTTCTCAATGAAGGCAATATTGACATTTGGAACAGGTAAGTTTTTGCTGTGGAGGCTGTCCTGTATATTGTAGAATGTTTAGCAGCATTTCTGGCCTCTTTTTATTAGAAGCCAGTAGCAACTCATCCTTTGTGATAATAAAAAATGTCTCCAGACATTGCCAAATGGCTCCTGGGGTCAAAATTCTCACTAGCAGAGAACCGTTTCCCTGAGGTATATCCTACTAGGGATAAGCTGTCAAATTACTGTATTTTAAAGTTTTTTGAAACAGTTCTTTTCTGTGTGGTTATGTCATCAAGCTGATACATACTTACATCTGTTTGGTTAATTTTGCTTTTGCATCTTAGCTTTGTTTTAAAATTTAATTTGTTTTGTAATTATATAAAATATTTACATGGTTCCAAAGTCAAATCTATAAAACAAGATATAGCTGGAGAAATCCAGCTTCTAATTCTGTCTCTTCCACCCTGGTCTTTAGCTTACTGCTATAAGTAACCATGAAGAAAAAGTTGCTGTGTCCCTCAACTGTATGTTTGTTTGTTTCTTCTTCTTCTTTTAAATATAAAAAAGGGGCCCCTCTTACTAGGGCAAGGAAAAGGATGGATGTGTCATCCAGGGTACATTCAGTGCAACAAATGTCAAGCTGGAGTGGGTATGTGTGTGTGTATGTGTGTATGTATGTGTGTGTGATTGTGTCTAAATGATTTGACACATGCCTTCCAGACTACTTCAGGTGCCTCCCCCATTTTGTCAGCTATCGTCTATGTCACTCAGGGTTCCAGTAGGAAACAGATACCATACCAATGGGGTAATTGAGGAGACATTAGTAAAAGGACTGTTTATAATGGTGTGGGCAGGATTAAAGGAAACCAGTAAGGGACAGTGCATCACTCCAGGGCTGGGAGCTGAGGAGCCGTTCTCTCCCTAGGCCTCAGGAACTAGGGAGGGAGTGGCTAGGGGAACCCAGAGAGAACAGCTTTATGGAGAGGGCTGCCCTCATGAGAGGTGTGCGCCCAACTCAGCTGACCTGGAAGGGAGGGAGCTAGAGGATTTTAAAACCTGATTTTACTTTCTTCTTCCCTTCCAATATTCAGTTGGTGCTTCTCAATGTCTGGATCTAGCTGAAGCCAAAGGACAGGGGACATATTCATGTAGTGCATACTTGTCAACCTTCTGCAGCAAAGCTGCATGAAGATAGGGAGAGAGAGGATTTGAAAGGGTAAACGGGAAATAACCAGCACATTGCTTGTTTCAGCTTCTCGTATGGAGGAAGGGACTCAGCCTCTGTGGAACAATAACCACCCGCTAGGCTCTGTGCCAGACACTTTACTATCCCATTCCTGTAACACAGCGTTCCTTGTTCCTGTGCCTCAGAGGAAGAAACACTCAATCACTTACCCCAGGCCCGAAGTGGGATTCAAAATCTGTGCTGGCTCATTTCAAAGTCATTGTTCTGTGCATTACACCATGATGACCCCAGTAATACATGTTCTCTCGTGCCCAGGGAGACAAACAGAAAAGTAGAACTTCTGTGCTGCCTTAGATGAACATTCTTTCCTGCAATAACAATGAAAAAATGGGGACGAGGTGGCTAACTCAAGGAACTTGTTTTCTCTAGATCAGAGGAGGGCATGGGGCTGATAATGACCTGCTTGCAAAACTGGGGAGCCAGAGGCCAAGGGCAATTGAGTGGTTATTAGTGGTTAGCAGGTCACTCCCAATCTGTATCTTAGGTAAGTGTATCCTTTACTGCGTCCCTTCTTATGGGTTCTTACCAGGCATTCATGGAGCCTTGGGGATCCATGGATGGAAGTGTATTTCAATATAATTGGTCCCTTTGTGATACAATGTATTTTATTTGTGCATTTATAGACTTTACTGACTGACATAGGCATCCCACCATGTGAAAGATTAAGAATCCCTGTGTGACCAAGAATTCAACACTGGTTAGTCATAGAGGACTTTAGTTTTCATGAGACTATGATTAGAAAGCACACATCCCTTGTGTAGGGCAGGAGAGGCACTAAATGTGATGCCCAGCCTCACTGTTCTCAATGGGCAAGGAAAAGGCAATGCTTTCATTGGATAGAGAACAAAGAAAGCAGGCATGCCAAGAAACATTTATTACATTATCAGGCATTGTAGTAAGTGATAAAAAACAAGGGAAGGGCTGTGGCTCTCTTGCCCTCCTCTTTTTCTCTGCCCAATGTTAGATCTCGCCATATATTCCTGCTTCATTTGGTGTGCAGGTTCCTTGTTTTTGGTCAACGCAGTTGAGGTGGTGTGGGAATGGAAGACTCAAGGCCTCACTGATGCCATGTGTGTGTGGAGCCATAGCAGGACAAAGTCACAGGGGCAGAGAGTCAGAAGGGGCTTCAGAGTCCATGAGGTTCAACCTCCCACCTAACAAAGGACTCTCTTACATACCTTGTGTGACAGCTGGTCATCTGGCCTCTGCCTGACATGCAGGAGATGGAGCGCTCAAGAACCTACAGGGCCCGACACTGCCTTTCATTGGCCTTACTTTAGCAATAATGAAACTGCAGCAACACCACCACCAACAGCATTTATTGAGTGCTTACTGTATACTGAGCACTGTGCTAAGCACTTTGCATGCATGATCTCATGTAATCCTTAAAATGACTCTGTGGGATTGGTGATCTTACCTCCATTTCATAGATGGATGAACTAAGGTTTAGTGATTTTCCCTCATAGCTACTGTCACAGGTATGTGTATGTATGTATATATGGTTGTGTTTATATGAGTGTGTGTGTTTGCATGTAAAATAAAGATGCAGTACTCTGCTACTCCAAGTAGAGGCCCAACACCATGCTGCAGGAGAGCAACAGGGCACTATCGTGGGTGTCCCAGACAGTCCAATCCTTTGGTGACTTTTTAAACTTATTTGGAATTTTCTAGAAATTTTAATTTTTCTCCCCAGATAACTTATTGGGAAGTTAATCTATATATTTATCCTTTTCTTCCTCCTTTCTTTAACTTGTGTTAATCTAGTATGTATCCAAGGATGCGTCCTGGAGATTATGACCTCAAATGCTGCTTGGGTTGACTTGCCTCCTAATCCCGCTCCAGATGGCAGCTTCAGAGCCTGTAGGTAGAACTTTTCTAGGAAGGAGATTTCCTCCTGGTGGTCCTTCAGTAGCTTGAGGTGGTGCTGGGGAGTAATGGCGTTGTTGATGAAAAGAGGGGTCCTCAGCCCAGAGACCGATCTCCTCGTCAGTAAAATGATGTGGGCAGGTTCCGTGGGTGCCCAAGGGTCTTTCTGGCAATGACGCTGGTGTCTCTCTGAACTTGAAAGTGAAAAATGTCAACACGGGGATTAGAGAACACAGCGTTGGTTTGCTTGGAGGAATAATAAAGACATTTTTACTTTTATCAAATTAGCTTAATTCCTTATCAGTGCTAAATAAAAATGGAACTGTTTTTTCCCTCAAGGCTCGATGCTGAACACATGACATAGGGAGTTCCTGTTAAAGAAAAAGGTACTTTGTAATTTTTAGTGAGACCACTGGATGGCGCACTTGCTCCACAGTGTTAGTGGAAACTACCTTGCATTTTCAGGTGAAGTGAGTCTGCAAGCGGTTGCTGAACCCGCTGCTCGGTGAGGAGAAATACACAATAGTATAGCTGGAAGGGACTTCTGGAATTATCTGATTCAATCCCTTTTATGTATTTTATTTTATTTTAATTGAATAAGTAATACATAAATACATTTTAATTGTAAAGGATTCAAGTTTTATATATGTCCCTTCTCTCCTCCTCCTCCCTGTCCCTCTGCGATGCTCATTCCCCATAACAGAGAAAACCCGTTGTTAACTCTTTGGGGTCTTTCCTTTATGTTCTTTCTATGCAAGTATACAGTTTGTATATGTACATGTACGCATATGTCTTTTCTTAGTGAGAACCCATGCAACCTCCTCATTTTGTAAATGAAGAAAGACAGGTAGGAGTTGGAGCCAATTTGTCTTATGGGAAGGGCCTGTGCTTTGGAGTCACATAGACTTGGGCTTTGAATTTTGATCTTGGAACTTAATAGTTGCCAACCTTGGCCAAGCTATTTAACTCTCATCCGAGCCTCATTTCCCTCATCTGGCAAGCTGTTCAGGTGCACTAAATAAGAGGAATACATGCAAGTCCTCCCAGCCCAGCTGGCCTGGCCATAGGTGTTACTTTCCTTCCCTGTCACTCTTTGCCAAGTTCATACAACTCATCAGTGGAAGAGCACGGTTCTCTCCATCCTGTGCCTCTGAGGAAGCTTTGAAAGGTGTGAGTACATGTGGACACACACAGTCATATGCCAACTCCAGCTTAATGGCCCAATGACCTGTAAGTACGAATCCTGCTGTTGCCAAAGCCCCCCCCCCACGGCCGCTGTGTGCCTTGGTTCTGTCCAAGTTCAGGGAAGAGCCGTATTTGAGGGCTGGAGAGAAATGCCAGGGTGCCGGATGGCACAGGAATTCAGAAAAGCTCCATCAAACAGGGTTCAAGTTCTGACTCAGCTCAGGTCTGTAAACTTGCAGGAAACTCTCACGTTCTCTGTGCCTGAGCTTCTTTATCTGTAAAACCAGAAAGATGATTTGGACCCCAGTAGAGCTTATACTAGCGAGAAGATAAATACACCACGAAGCTCGTGATGCTTTCCTTTATCCCTTGTTTTCCAGGAAGCTCAGAGCCCAACTGAATGTGAATTGAAACCACTCTCCTCGTCCCCGGGTTTCTGGGGTAAGTATCTTCCATTTCATGGTTTTATGTTGGTTATTATTTTATTTTAATTAATTAATTAATTATTTTTTATTTACAAAGTTTCAGGTGTACCACCTTGTAATTCAACATCTGAATACACTACAAAGTGATGACCAGCAGAAGTCTAGTTACTCTCCGTCACCATACAACTGGGTTCTTATTTTTCTGGTGGGAACTGTGGGTCTGTGAAGGTGGCGGTGAGGAGACAGCCTGTACTTCTTGCTGATCCAGACACGTGGGGGCTTCAAGCCTTGCATTTTGAGATACCATGGGTGGAAAGGGATTCATACCCTTTTTAAATTTCCCACTCTCAGTTTTGCATAACAATCCCTGACATTTCATTTGGTCATTTTAGAAAATACTTTCAAATAGGTATTTGAAAATAGTTATTTAAAAATAAGTTCTATTATCTTTTTTTTTTTTGGTGAGGAAGATTGGCCCTGAGCTAACATCTGTTGCCAATCTTCCTCTTTTTGCTTGAGGAAGATTGTCGCTGAGCTAACATCTGTGGCAATCTTCCTCTATTTTATGTGAGATGTCACCACAGCATGGCTTGATGAGTAGTGCTATGTCCGTGCCCAGGATCCAAACCTGCAAACCCCAGGCCACCGAAGAAGAGTGTACGAACTTAACCACCATGCTGCCAGGCCTGCCCCAAGATCTTTTATCTTGTTTGATCCTCACAACCGTTTCTGAGGCTTGATTGAAAAGCAGCAGGCACATGTGGACATTATTTGAATGTTATTTTATAAAAACAACACAACCTTGAAAATATTAAAAAAAAAAAAAACAAAATAAAACCCAGAATAGCAGCTTATCTGTTTCAGTCAAGAAAACTCTTTTCTGAAATGCAGAGCTGGCTTTAGAAGTAACTAGATGGTAGGCAGCACAGGTCATCACGGGGGTCAGCCACTCTGCAGGTTGATGGACTTGTTCCATCTCCAGGTAGACCGAGCTCCATCAGATGGGGCCGGGCGTTCCCTGTCTCTTCTCCTTGTCCTTGGCTCGCTGAGTGATAGCTCTTCTTTTCCCTGTGGATGTGAATCTCACTTACGGTCACCACATGGTTTTCCACAGGAGGAGAAAGGGGCTATCTATCCCACCTCCGAGATCACAGGTTATGGCAGCTTGCTCTGCTGCTGTCCACAAAATGGGAATTACCCCTCCATTGGTTTGTATCCTGCCTGAATTGACCAACGAATCCAACAGGGGTCCTGGGGCGGGGTCCTGGAACTCCTCTGACGGGACCCTCTCAGGGACTCCCTAGGCCCATGTTTTTAGGACTCCTGGATGGGGCTTCCTGAGATACAGAAGGACTGACTTTCCAGTGAGGTAGAAAGATGAAGAAACAGACCTCAGAGTAGCATCTTTCAAACCCTCTCGAAAGTAGCCCGTTACTGTTCATTCTAGATTTAGCCTGCTGTGGGATGAAGGGCATGACCACTGCCCCCTTGGCAGGGTTTCTCTCACTCCCAGGTGGCGAGATGGGGCAGCAGCTGCAGCCTTTGGTTTTAAACAAGACTTTTGCTATTGATGTAAATGCTGAGCCTTCTAATGAAAAGGAAATAGGTGATTTGCTGACAGTGGAGCTGTGGAAGGACCCCTTCACATCTCAGCTGAAGGGATGGGAAATAAACTTTGACAGTCTTCCTTGAAGAGGCTTAAATGAGTGACTTATTTTTCTTTTCCAGAGTTAGAGTCAGGCACACAGTCAAGGCTGTGAACTGTGCTCCCAGTAACTCTATTGAAATAGAATTTCTTCTCTCCTCTGCCTGAACTGCTCTTGACAGTGTTTTAGCATCTTCCTCGCCCACTGTCTCCCATTGGAGAGTCCTGTCTCTGAGTAGAACTGTACCTAAGCCATGCAGGTAAAAGCTGCCCAGAGTTAAGTAGAAAAAAGCCTGCTAGCAATAGCCAGGTTAATGGTTGCTATCTTGCCTCCGCAGGAAGCCTGGCAGCTTTTTAAAAATGCAAAGTCGGCTAAGTTGGTGCAGTGCTGAGAACTGATTAAGAAAGCCTCGCTATTCAATTCTATCTCTTTAAATGAAATGATTTTCAAAATCCAGACAGTTTACATGCCAAAGGAGAGGGAGGAAAGCCAAAGCTGAAGGGGAAAAAAATCACTTTCCAAAAACGGGCTATTTTCACAAGGAAAGGGAAAATCAGTTTTGAACTGCTGAGGTGGGAACAAAGATGGTGCTGCTGCAGATCGGGCTTCAGGGCCTGTCTGCAAAGTGTGCAGAGGACCCTGTCTCTTGGAAGGAACCTGCTGCCCCGGACGGCCTGCAGGTTCCACTCAGCCTGACTGAACTCTGTCAGTCCTACAACAGGGCTTCCTCCTGACTCTAGGCCTCTGACCTCCTTTTCTTAGAGCGCTTACTTTAGGAAGCATTCATTTGTAAATTCTTTCTTTGCCCCTTTGAGGTGTAAATCTTCTCCCAGCCTCTTGCCAGTTTTATAACCCAGCAATGTCTTCCTCAAGGACCTGGGGGCCACCTCTTTGAAATGTAATTATCAGGAAAGCTAGTGCCCCCACCGCCCTGCCCCCCATCTCCCAGTCTCTGTGGGCAACTTCTGCGAGCGCCAATTAGCAAACATGGATGGCCTCATCACATTGACCAACCTCCCTCCTAACTTCCGCCAGTACTTTCCCAATAGCTCACCCCAACTAACAACTCTCCAGCCTTGCTTTTTGTTCAGTCTCTCTCTCTTATTACAAGAGCCTTGCATCAAGTCTTCTTCGCTTGTTTAACTCTGTCCAGGGCAATTTTTCTTTGACGCTGCTCAATCCAAGCCTCTTTCTGCGACTCTGGAATCTCAGCACCCCTGTGGAGCAACTTCTTCTTCCTGGATGGAACCGCGTGGGAGATGTCCTCCAGCTTTACTGACCGGCTGCAAGAACCCCCTTTGGGTTCCTCCCTCTTCCATCTGTAATCCAATCCTCCCTCTTCCAAATGCTCACTTCAGTACTCCCTTGGGAGAGAGGACACAGGGAAAAGGAAGAGAGGGGCCATCCACCCCCATCTCTTGGCTGCTGCTTGGGTGTGATCTCTTTTTCCAGAAGGTTCTCTCTGTTTTGTAATTTTCTTTTAAAAGTACATTTTTATTTCTTGGGGGGGGGGGCTGGGGAACAAATTAGAAATGCTATGTGCCGTTGTGAGAAAGAACATCTCTTGAGCAGCTGCATTGGGGTTCCCTGAGTGAGAGTCTCCGTGGCTTTCCCTTGAGAAAGTCTGGCTCACTGGGTGGAGAGGATTCTGCTGAGTGTGGTACTTTGGAGCCTGGACTCTGGAGTCCGCCTGGCTGGGCCGATTCTCACCTCCACTGCTTGATGTGTGGCCTTGGGTGAGTCACCCAAATCTCTCCCTGTGCCTCAGTTTCCTCCCATGTAAAATCAGGGCTACATCATAGGTGTGGGGGATCAGACTTGGCCACCCCAAAATGTGTCTCTTTGGCATTAGGATTATTTTGGGCTGGTTACTTTTATGAAACTGCAGACAGGGGAAAAGCTCTGAAAAGTGGAATTTACCCTTTGTAAGAGGTATTTACATTTGTAAGGGAAATCTCCATTTGTAAAGGTGTCTCCCTCTCTGTGCCTGGAAGAAGGGGGGATGGCCTTATCTGTAGAAACTCTTATCAATGCTGAAGGCAGGGACTTAAATCTGCATAATAACCTTACTCTTGTTTACTGTGCTTTTCTGGTGATCTCCCATAACTGACTCTTGCCATCCCCAACATCCTCCTTTGTCTTTAGCTGGAGATGATATGTAAGTTGGCAGCCCTGCCATTTTGATGAGTTACTCAGCCTTCCTTGGTTTCTCCCATGTATACATGTTTAAAGCTTTGTTTGATTTTCTCCTGTTATTCTGTCTTATGTCAATTTAATTCGTAGGCCAGCCAGGGGAACCTAGAGTGGGTAGAGGAAATGTTCTTCCTCCCCTACATAGGGTTGTCATGAGGATTACATGCTTACGTGTAAAATGCTTATGGTGGTGCCTAGCACAGAGTAGGTTTCCAGTAAATGCCTAGCCATCGTCATCATGAGAGTATGCACATTTTTTCCCTGGAACGAGGCACACACAGTTGTTAACAAAGTAACCTTTGTGGAGAAACAGAGTAGGGCGGGAAATGTTTCCTTTTGATTTTGTACTTCCTTGTACTATTTCAACTTTTTAGCCCTATACTTCTTTTATTTAAAGATTTTAACTAACTCAACATTTTTTTCCTCTCTGGCAATTAAGTGAAATAGCCCATTGATAGCATGGGAGGAAATACTTGTCTAGAAACAATGCTTTAATAGATCTGTGCCATTTCAGAGTAAAATTTAGTCTTAAAGAGCCACTTTAAAAAATGGAAAATAACCATGTAAAGCAAATGCTGCTTATTGCAGAATCCCTTCTCCTAAGTCCTTTTGATTTGATTGACTTAAATTTACATGGGAATCCAACCGCCTCACTGCTGGGAAAACACTCAGAGGGTTTGAGATAGATGCTGCTGGGCAGGGTGGCACCATGACGTATTTTTGGGTGGAAAAAAAAAATGTGTTGTTTTCAACCTGATAGCAGAACTCCTGTTGAGTGAGACTGGCCTTCATTTAGGAAAACTCACTGTTAGCTTTTTTAGGTATGAGAGGCTGTTCCTGCTCCCTCTGCCTTCCTGCCCCTACTGGCTGAGTCAGAGACCAAGAGAGAAGAGAATTTGTCTTTTAAGAAGCTGGGAGCAATTTTAGATTCCTGTGGGCAGCTGAGAAATGAGGGGATAAGGAGCTCAGAGAGAGAGAAGGGCAAGAAAGTTGAGCAGTGAGAGGTTCTGGTGGGAATGTTCAAGGGGATCTTTAGAACAAGGGTGTCTCGTGGTTGATTTTAAGTTATCCGCTGTGCAGTAGTATTACCGCCCAGTCACCGTTCCACACAGCTGCTCTTCTGTAAGGGTTTGGGGAAGTGAAGGAAACAGACAAGGGGAGGATGAAAAGAAAAGAA